CACCACATTTTTCTGAGCCGCATTGTCATCGTTGTTCTTTGCCCCCCCTCGCTGTCAGCATCCTTCGCTCTATCCCTCACCTGCTGCGCGCGCATCGACCCTCAGAAAACGCTTGCCAAATGAAAGCCGGCAGCCCGTCCCAGCCTGCGCCGGGGCTAAGCACACAAACAATCAGGTGCGACGTCAAGAGGCTAAAGCAGAGGAAAGATGGGAATTTGCCTTATCGGTGGAATCGCTACGAGATAATGCAGCGGTAAGCCAGCAAAAACACAAATGGGAACACAACAGGGAAACTAACCTGTCACAGTTCTGCATTTACTTCCCCTCTGAGTAATATCGACATCAGCAAGTGAGCAAAAGCCCATTTCTTTTCAAAGCGTTTTCTTCACAGGGGAAATTTAACAAACCTTTTTGTCTATGGCTTGGATTTGCTGTTAGGAACTTCATCCAGTACAGAATTATGACTAATAAGGAGAAAAAACAATATGATCACAAGGTGCAGCTGATTTTGCAAATCTGCTTTGGCCTCAAGCTAAATCGTTTATTTATTAAAATACATGAAGACAGGAAAGAAGAGATGGAAACCTCCTGTAAAAATGCTGTTGTATTACAAACATAGCTCCTTCACATTTTCTGTGTATTAGAGAGAAAAACAAAGCAGTGCTTCTGTCTCTTAGTACATCAAGAGTGGTATTAAAAGTGTGACCGATGTGCCTCCATAAAGTAACACCTTCATTCCTTCCTGTCTAACACAAAAGCCATGCTCGCCTTTCACTGTAGCTTGCTTAGATGTACAAGAGATACCCTTATCGATTCCCCCATTGGCTTACACTGCTGACGAATGTCTCAAAGGCTTAATTCAAAGGGAGTTCAAAATAAGATTACTGATTTTTATCACCTGGCTGCAGCCAGCAGGGGTGAGAGAGAGGGAGAGACTGACAAAAGCCATCAAAACTGAGAGAGGAAAGGTGGCTCAGAGGGACGAATCAAGCATTGGCGGATCACAGCGTGCTCCTGGCCCGTTAGAGTGAGCGAGGCTAAGTGCTTCCAGGGCTGTTATAAATAACAGCAAATTGTTTAATGCCTCAAATGAGTTATTTGTGACGGCTGACACAGCAGGACTGGAAGGGGAGAAAATAAGAAGGAAGAAAACAGAGAGATGTCGAGGTGGGAGGAAACGCCACAGAATGTGAAAAGCACAAGTAAACAGTCTCAAAGACCTTGGTGGAAATGAAATATCCTGGTTCAAATGTTGCTGCAAACATGAATTGCACAGTTTGATCTGGTTATTCAAAACTGCATTAGCAGCTGTTTCGAACAGTTACCAAGATAATTTACACATACAATTTGAAGATAAAGTCATTCGAAAAACTAAGTACACCCCTAATGCTTTCATAGGAATTCACCACAAAGCCAGGCCACGCAACGTTCAGAGAAACAGGAAAAAACACTCGAGCGTTTTCGAGCTACAGGCCTCAGTTAGCATGTTAAAGTTCATGACAGTACAACTAGAAAACATATGGCTTGTTTGGAAACGTTGCCAGGGGACAAACTCTTTTTCTTGGTCAATGTTGCTAAAGATAGCATAGCAGGGATGGTGGTGGAGGGATGATGATTTGGGCTTGTTTTGCAGCTGCAGCACCCAGGCATCTTACAGTCTTTGAGTTGACCATAAACTCGATATAGTCAAAAGTGAGACTATCTGTTCAACACAAGTGTGGTTAAAACTGGGTCATGCAACAGGGCAATGGTCCCAAGGACAGAAGCAAACAGCAGAATGAATGAAAAAGTACCAGATGTGCATTGCAAGTTTGAGCTAAAAAAACTTCCCATAGCCATGTTTGCTTCGCATGCTAGGATGTGGCAATATCTCACGCCAACCGGTCACAGCAGATGGCCCCGCCCCTCCCTGAGCCTGGTTCTGTCAGAGGTTTCTTCCTGTTCAAAGGGAGTTTTTTCCTTCCCACTGTCGCCAAAGTGCTTGCTCATAGAGGGTGATTGTTGGGTTTTTCTCTGTATGTATTATTATAGGGTCTACCTTACATATAAAGCGCCTTGAGGCGACTGTCGTTGTGATTTGACGCTGTATAAATAAAATTGAATTGAATTGAATTGAATTACTATAGCTGTCCAGAGGTCTCTCTTGGCCAGCAACTAGCCATGAAATGAATGTAAATCCTCCATGTTCTCCTAATTGCTTTTGTTGCTCCAGCCCAGGACACATCTACCCAGTAAGCTGACTGAACATTCTCGCGTGGCTTGTAATGATGCATTTTTGCTCACTTGGATTTTCATCTGTGTGAAAAGTAGACCAACAAAAGGTGTGAAAATGCTCTCAGAGAGCTATGCTTAAACAAATACCTGCAAAGGTCAATGAACTGATGTCATTTTGTAAAGAAGAGTGGACCCAAATTCCTCTAAACGGTGTGAGAGCCTGACAAAGTCATGCTGCTACAAACTATTGGAGCACTGGGATACTTATTTTTCATAGAATTGCAGAGACCAATGTTTAACCTCTGGTAACAATTTATGTAACGGTATAAAACCAGAACTTTAAAAAAAAGTCAGAAATTGGGTACAGGGTTCCCCTTCATTTAAAATTTAGATCTTTTATATTTACTTATTCATGCACTTCTAACACACGTCTTCAGACTGCAGGAATAATGCGGCGCACAAGGAGAAAAACCACCACGCAGCTGATACACATGATGGATACAGAATGAAACTTGTCAGAATGGATTACATGCTTTTCATCTGACTTAAATATTCAGTATAGCCTTAAAACCTAAGAGTAAAATTATTTTTAACCTTATTTCTTTTTGTATTTGGCAGAACACGGACTGTCTTTGGATACTGTACCATAAAATCTAAGAGAAACAGTGCAAATATGTACCCTTTACTCTTTCAGAAAATGTATTTACCTTTTTGACCTCTCAAAAGGTACACATAGGCACCTGGACACAGATTCTTCCTGTAGGAACATAAATTGACTTTTACTAGAATTCTTTTATCTAACAGTGTGGCTACAAAAATGATACTCTAAATTCTTTCTTTCTTTCTTTCTTTCTTTCTTTCTTTCTTTCTTTCTTTCTTTCTTTCTTTCTTTCTTTCTTTCTTTCTTTCTTTCTTTCTTTCTT